CTGTTGATTTTGAATCTTTATATAAAGAAAGAACTCAAAGTCAAACAGGTATAACTGATATATTAGAAGATGTAACTTTTAAATCTTCTACAAGTATGAGTATTAGTGAAGAAGATGAAGGTAGTAAAATTATAAAAAAAGTAATTCTAATAGAAATTGAATCTCAAACTAAATCTGAAGATGAAGAGGATGATAATATAATATATATACCTCAGTAGTAGAAAAATGTGCTTTTTGGCACAAAAAACCCTTGACCTCCAAATGAACCCAGAAGGTTGCCCTAGATATCAAAAAATCACCTCCCAATAGCATACCATATAGGTAGCTAAAGAAGAGGCAGGAGCATAAACCCTTTAGGGTGATGCGGATGCCTTTGAAAGAAAAAATATAGCAGGAACATGAGCAAGCCCTTTAGGGTGAAATGAATGTGGATGCTATATTTTTTTAACCTATATGCTACTATTCTAGTGTATACTAATAAATGAGGCATATTCGAAAGCAATTATGAATGCAAGACAAGGTTTACTATAGGCAGAGCAAAGCGAAGCCTTTGTGCGAAGCGAAGCAAAACACATGTAAACAAACTATAAAGTATATAATAAATGCAATACATGGTTTACTATAGGCGGAGCGAAGTGAAACCTTTGTGCGAAGCAAAGCAAAGTATATGTAAACAAACTAAAAAGCATATAATGAATGCTAATATTATAAGCAAATAGGATCATAATTTTCACCTCAAGGTAAAAAATAATATGATATAAATGTATACATTTTGGGTTCTGGAAACATCTCTGACACTAGCCTATCACTAGACTATCATTTGCCTGAATTTTTGCAAGCTTTTGATGCTGATAAAAATCTCAAATATGATATTTACCTGCATGTTTCCTACAAGTACTATAAATAAAGGAAGTTAATTTTCCGCATTCTATACAGGGAACTCAATTAGGAGATTTCTAATAAACTTTACACCTTTCTTCTTGATAGCACCCCTCATTGCATACTTCTCCGGACCTAAGAATATATGGACATTTATAAAATCCCATATTGGTTTGTTTTTTGAATAAATATGTAACTATAATTATCCGAATAAATTAATTTTTATTTTAAACTTTTTTGTAACCATATATAATCTTTAGGAAAACATGAGTAGAATACTTAGTACTATCACCGGTGTATTAGGACGATTGTTCGAAAATCTCTTATCAAGCTAGAGAGACCCAACACCACCTGAGTTACCCGAACCTTCCGAGCTACCAGAACCAGAAGAAGGGTCGAAGGAGAGGAAAAGTGACTATAAAACCGCTTTAGATTACCAAAATACTGATACAAGATGGTATTCAGCTATCCGAAGATTTCTATTCTGGAAAAAACAGGATTTGCATATCGAGTTCTATGATGGGTTTACATAATGAATTAGTTCCGAAAATGACTTCTGTGATTTATCATGAGATTGGTTCATAATCAAAGCTAATCTGAATGAAACACTTCAAAAGGCTCATATTCGTTATAATGATGAAGCCAATGCAATCTTTTGGCGAAGTGATGGGCAGATAGACTTAAGAAAAACTGGTACGTATGCAATGGCAAGTCTGCGCTTCTTTCAAGATGTAGCTAGATGTCCTAGAAAAGCTGAAAACTTATCGCCAGAGGAAGACCAGTGGATAAGATCAGCATATATAGGAGGTTTAACGTGGGCCGAGCCATATGAAGGAATTGCAACCGAGTTAGATTTCAATGAATATTACCCACACATCTTAGCTTGTGGGAGTACATGCTGGCCAATAGGTCCAGAAGAATTTAAAACATTTACACACATTAGCGTTAATCCTATCAACTTTAATCTAAAATACGGAATTTATCATGTTTTTATAGAAGGTCAGCCAGCAGGTCAAAAATGCACAAGAACTTTTCGTTATAATCCTGCGGGATATTACACTCACCATGACATACAAATGGCAATAGATCTAGGTCTTCATATAGAATTATCCTCTGAAAGTCCTAATGCTTTAATATTTGGGCCAAATCAGCTTATGCGCGGAGATGAAATTTTCTATCAATGGGCAAGTTATCTTACAGAAATCAAGCATGAAGGCGGACAGGCAGGTACAGTTGCCAAGCATATGCTAGTATCACTCTGGGAGCGATTATATTCAGATAGACGAAGACCAGGTCCTCATCGACGCATGGCACCTTTTATTTCAGCAAGGGGATGCAAAACAGTATCAGAAAAAATCAGATCACTAGGTGATCGTATAAAGCGCGTCCATACAGATGGGTTTATTCTTTCAGGTAAAATTAGCGATCAGGTGATTGGAAAACAAGCAGGAGAGTTAAAAATAGTTAATGCAGGTAATGTCTCAATAAAGAATGCAATGCG